ATATTTGGTGGGGGAGGAAAAGCGAGGAAGAAAATTTGAACAAAGAAAATGAAACAGGCGACGATAAAACGCCGACGCGAGCGATACACAACGAAACAGGACGGGAGGTTGCAGAAAGAAAGACGGGAGAAAATAGAAAGAAGGGGTGCCAAAGCGACCGAACTGGCGGACGACGGGCCCACAGCAAAAAGACGCGGGAGGCGAGAGGCAGGGGGCGGGGGCGAGGGGAGAAAGGGGAGAGATCAAAACCGAATCGATTCAGAAAGACAACAACAAGAAAAGTCATAGCATCTGGGTGAGTTTGAAGTTGAGTGCGTGAAAAGCCGAAGGCGATAGAGTTTACAGGCAGATAATAAACGAAATTTGGGGGGCGGCCAAGCGGGCAAACGACAGACGGACAGACGAACGAACGGACGAATAGTGGACAAAAGGAAACAACGAAAACGGAACCACAGAAGAAGCAGACGAAATGCCGCGAACCCGACGGAGAGAATGAGCGGGAGGACAAGAAAGCAAAAAAATACCTATTGCTACGGAGACGACGTTGCCGCCGCCGCCGCCCCCGGCAATGGCGTTGCTGTTCGACGACGAAGTCGAAGAATAGAGAAACGTGGTCATGACGAACTGGGGACAAGGCAAGCAATAGCAAAGTTGACGCTGATGGTCGGACGAGGGTAGGGGAAAGAAAAGGAGAACGAAGAAAATGTCTGTTGCATTGACGGAGCCAGCCACTTTGAAGTGGGGGTGGCTCAGCCACTGGAACTGGTGATACTAATACTGCCATTTCTCTTGTCAACGAGTGGGAATGCGCAATGAGAACGCGAAAAATAAGTAGATGTAATCAGTAAATGGCACCAAGAGCGTCGTCAGCAGCAATTCGTTCAGATCCAGACGGACCCAGTTACTCTGCTGCGCAGACGATCTGCCGCTACTACTGCTGCCGCTAAAGGTGGCGGTTGGTCGAGCCAGCAACGCGCAGGTCATCACCGCAGTTGCAGCTGCCTTTCTCCTGATGAGATCGCCGGCGGAGACCCAAGAAGCAATCGATCGATGGACAGCAGGCGTGAGAAGGGTGACGGATCGACAGCCGAAATGAAAACTGTTGAAATAAACACGGTCCCTCAAGAGAGGTCAGCAAAGTTATCAGCCAGTGGCACGGCCGAACCTAAGTTGAACACCGAAGACCTAATGGAGACATTGCACGCTAAAATTAGGTCTCTTGACTTAGTGCACGTTAACTGGTGTGCAAAGTACAAAGCTTCGGCCTAGACGTTTTTCCTGACAAGAAACTCACTGAGACGAGTTCACGTATGAAGCATTCAGTATATAATAAGTATATAGACTTTGGCGCGATGTTTGTTCTTCTTCGATAATAGCAAGCATTGATTACCCCGCTTACTAGTAATTATTCCCACGAAAATGCGCCGAATTTAACATTTGCGAAGGGACGGTGCTTGCGAAGCTGACTGATGTGTTTCAGCGAGAGCGGCAAATATGCCTTCCGAGCACATATTATCGTGAAGGAACAGCCCACATGGATCATGGTGGGAGTAGCAGAAAGTGGTTGGCCGGACCCACTTTGCCTAGGACAAAGGCCAAAGGAGTTTAGAAGCTATGATCTAGTTAATAAAGGAGTGTATATTCCACCGCTTTTCTGTAGTCGATATTTAGATGTAACGGTGAAATAATTTATTTTTACCTTCAAGAACCCGAAGGAACATGTTTGAAACTTCTACAATTTGTGTAAGAATGATTTTGCCTGGTCCACTCGTGGTTCACACCATGCGTACATATAGAGCTTAAGTGTAAGTACGTTATATCTAGTACGGGAGGCGATGCCAATATTGTTCAATAATGCTATTTTTGCCGAATACAAGATATTTACTAATAATGTTAACCGATAAATTATATGTTATTATATTATATGTCATTAAATGCTAATTAGAGGGTAGCTCATACACATATACGCGATTAAGTTGCGATGCGTCGACATCACTCAATCTTTGACTAACCAGTTTTCTGTTCGGCGTTACAACAACATAAAGTATTCAACTGATCTGTGAATGTTACCTATATATCGGCACTCCATGGAGGCAGGGTCACCAAAACCTGTTCCGATACGACCGAGGAACCGTTCCAATTTAAAGCTCTTCCTTCTAATCGAGTGATCTAAATCGTTCTGCAACGATACATGATCCCATTGAATTTCGACTGCCAATCAGGCACACTCATGCCCATGTAATGTTCCGAGAAGATCCTCTGGATCCATTCCGGCCGCTGCAGGCGTCGTCGTCACCAGCCTCTTCAACATCTCGTATATATTTGCACCGACGCACAGCGTGGGAAAACGTCGTCCGTCAGACATATATGTATATATACATGAAACAATTGACGCCGTCATCCCTCAACAGATCTCCATTTACGATATGTTAACGGACGGAGAGTGATTTACGTTGCAGCATTTCGTGTTCATGTAGACGAGTCTCGCAAACTTTTCTCGGACCTGAAAAGGGCTCGAGTAAAAGTGTCATCGCTCCGGTTGGCCACGCCATGCGGACGGGCAGCTATCTAACGTCATACAACATATAATGCTAGCAACGAACCTAAGAACGAACAGTGCCATAACAACACAGCTTGGGGTGAACTGGCGTCCACTAAGCCGATCGCCTCATTGGCGGCAGTGGATATGGTACTAGACGCTACCCGATTTCGTGAATGAGCTCTGATGCGGGTGGCTTGTCGCCAATTGCTGTCATACGGCTTCGAGTGCTTTCAACTACACTGCGTAGTGCGCTGACTACTTTACAGGTCCTGAATATCATACGTAACTGCTCAAGTTATAGTACTTCAGAGGGCGCCTCTGTAAGAAACGTCTGCCACCTACTCTCTCACGCTGACACCCGTCAGCGTCAGAAAGATACACATTCATTCAGATATATGATGGTTATTGGTAGCAATGCCTCCCACGAAGGTCCCAGCAAAAACGATTTAGCCTTCCTTACTTCAGGTCGGTTTCTCGAACTTCTTAGCTACATATAGTACATCGGGAAGGGTTGATTCTATAAGCCAAATTTTGTTTGACCTTATTTTTGGCAACAGTCAATATAACGAAAAAGAAAAAGTTATACTGGTACGTGTGTATTATGTAGCCGAAATAGACTCACTATAATTAATTTATTTTAAGTAGGAATGATCAATTGAAGACACCTATGTAGTTGACCCATACAGATCCATCAAGTGAAGTTGCAACGGGGAGCGATGCGTCATACCAGTAAAGTCGTCAAAATTTCCCTCGAAAGCAACTATACCTGACACGTTATTGACGACGCCACTTTGTAGAACGAGTGCCACACACACACACACACAAACAAACAAACAAACGAAGACACACACACACAAACATACATTCATTCATGCATACATACATACATATATACATACATACATACATACATACATACATACATCGACAGATTCTGATGTCGTATGTGTTTCAAATGCACCAGCCCGCATAGCTCTGACCAATGAAATCGTGTTAAAAAACTGATCACATAACTGAACTCGATGTAATAATTTGTATAAACAACAACATGTGTTTGATTTTCTTTTAAAGTATAACTTTAAGACGGGCAACACTGTGGTGATGAGAAAAACGAAGTGGCTATCATATTAATTTTGTTGCTCAAGAAAAACCACGATGAAACGCGAAAAAATAGCGAGCGCTTCCATATAGTTCCGTTTTTTAAGGTATGGCCAAAGAGAAACTTCCAATAACATGGATTGCACTACATTTATAACCTGCGTGCATCTTAGAAATTTCGATAGTATGCTTGTAGAAACATATTGCTGCAAGAAAAAATAGACCGGTTCGTACAGCCTGATTCGAAAGCAAGCGTTAGGTCCTAAAGGAAATCAACGAGCCCGTCAAAGATATGGTCCTTTTTCTAGTAGTTTACTCTTAACCTAAAGACACAGTACAGAGAAACACATACACACACACAATTATGCTCACCGGAGTAAACCTCTGTATTTCGAGTCTTAGGTCCGGTATCGCCGTTAGGCTCCCAGCGCGATACGAAACGTATGTCTTCAGCTGGGTTCGAGCCTGGACTACAATGTGTTCCTGAGATTAGTAAACAATACTAAAGCAGAAGTTGTCGACTTTTCACTTTAGACGTAATGGCAAATGTGCCATCAACTAATTGCACAAAGCAAGTGACACGCGGCTGAAGTCAAGACTGCTAAGCACAGTGTTGATATTATTAATATGTCTCACGAAACCTTTCCGAGATGCCCTTACATCTGTTCGTTTCATACCGCGATCGTTCTGAAGATACCCGCTTCTTCATCAACATTGCCATTTAGCCAGTTCCAGCTAGCAGACTTTAATGCAAACTGTAACCTATTTTCCAGCTGATTTAAAAACCCTTGCAATAGTTACATATAGTTGCAACGAGTAAACTAGTAGTTCTCTAACGACTTGACGCTACTAGCTTCTCACCATATATGTATATGGATATATTGGTTAATTAGAAGGTAAGAAGAGGTGATAATTTTTCGACACTGCGTGCCGCATACGGCACTGCCGAATGAAGAAGTCCAGCTAACGACTGTAGAGCTCTTGGGCTGAACATACTGATTGTAGCTGCAACAATTTTGTGACCCGCTTATCATAGATTTTTCCTATTTCACGCGGCACTTCACGAACCTTTCAATAGTATGGGCGGCCGGCATTGCACTGGCGATTGGTGCAGATTTGCAACAACGACGATAGCACCGACACCCCTTGCAAAAACATCAATATAAGAAAAATGCTCAAAAACATTACAAATATGTGTGTTTTTGGGTGCGTGTATGGCTGGGTGTGTATGTGTGCCCACTAGCCGAGATACTTAGCGGAGCATGTAACTATCTGGCGCCCGCTAGCGTCCGCTAGATATTTCAGCTCTGACAAGAACAACGAATTTCTGCTGCCATTGCCACAACAACTCCAAGTGGCAGTCTTTCAGTAACGCCGCTACCTACTACGACAACAACGTAGTCGTAGCAGTAGAACGTGGAGAGTTGCACCCGTTAGCCACGTTGGCTACTTTTGTTAAGTTGTCTATTCTTTGCCTAAAGTTATCGTCCACAGACCATGATCCCGATCCGTGGGAATGACGGAATGAGCTAAGGGGCGTTTAGTACTCATCGGGTCCGGCTAGTTGCCTTAGAGGCGAACATTGTTGCCGGCGGCAGCAGGATCAGAAGCAAAAGCATCGCGTTCTGCTCGTTCTTTCGTCCGATCCCACAAAACCGCTGACGATGGGAGCGGTTCCCGCCATTTTAGATGTCGCTTCGGTCGCTGCCGCTGACGAAACCGTTGGACTATTACCGCCACTATCACCGCACCGTTTCTATGGCGTGTCTGTGACTGTGCCATTTAGCAGCATTAGCACCGGTAGTAAACGCGCCTAAAATCTGCCGTCACCGTCGCCGCCGCCGCCATCTGTTTAAAGAGCCATTTTCCGTATGGGCTGTCGGAGTACGGTCGTCGCGCGATTGCCAGTCCACCTCGACCATACTTTAAGTGACACATCACAGTAGCGCACGTTAAGTCGAACGCGTTTAACGACAGATAGATAGATAGATAGATAGATAGATGGACATACATCGCGAGGACCACTGGTGCATTTACAATCACTTAATTACATGTTCCTTTTTAGTTGACGACCCCTTCGTGCTATTCATCCATGTTACGGATGCGATTAAATGGCCATTTATCTACATATCTGTACTGTCTATAAATAAATGGCCGTATCGGAGGATCAATGCCACAATAATATCCCGTTTGTAAGGGTAAAATTTCATGCATTACAGTAAACGGCCATGGTAAAATCGTAACTCTTTCAGGCAAAGCCCTGGAGCGCAGCGACACAGCAGAGCCTCTTAGTTTAAGCATGAGGGTGCCGACAAAGGAAAGGAACGAGATGTTCGGAAGTCACGCAATCCTATGGCGTTCAAACAAGTTATGCAAAATGTCAGAACGATATCATGTTAGAAGTGTAAAGAGCGACATAACTTCATATGGTTCCAAATGGTATTCACGTTTCTAAGCTTACGTTCAATATGCTCTAACATTGGGTCGGTTCTTACCACATACGAAGCGCGCTCGATGCCCATTATTATTAAAATTACAGAATTTTGTCTAATTTCGTATAGTACTGCTCTATTTTTGGATACTTTATCCGCAACTGGCACCTGTATTACAAGAAAGTAGGTAAAACTGAACATGATTAATTTGCACCGCCATCACAGAACGAAAGGAATATATTCTCGATTGGTTTGGACCCATGATCTTTCTGGTGGCATGTTTTACTCGAGTTAGACTCTGACACGAGTATCTTTATCGCTGCCTCACCCACAGTATCGCGGAGCGTCCAAACATGGGTAGCGTCTGTCAGTTGTTCGTTGATAAGGTTATTTCCGTGACCATTGAATACGTAACCTGAACATTATCATTAATTTCTATTTGTCTCTATGGGCAACCTGGCGACTAAACGACAGATAATCCTCTGCACAAGGACCTGTTGATGGGTGCATTAAAAGATTAGGGGGTAGGAATATATGTTGAAACTCAAAATTCACTTGAGTGAGGCGTTAACAGCTATCTTGTATCAGTTGTTGAATCCAGAGATGTGAGACATTGTTCGAGCTGCCTAACTAGTATTATTGATAGTTTGTGGTATCGTTAATCTTCACCTATTTTAACGTTTGCTAAAAAAATACCCACTTCTAAAGGTGCATATTTGCCACTAGCGAAATCCGCAATTCCTTGGCCGACTATTAGTGAAGAATTCGAAAGATGAAGTAAGGCTTCAAGAGATCTAACAATATGAGGAAGAAAAAGTGGCCATCCAGCGGCGGCGGCGGCATTATCGCCGTCTCAGCCGCTGCGCGAGCTTCGGAGCAAATAGTCATTTAAACGCACCGAGCACGTGGCACCCATTGCGTGTCTCTGATCTGTTCTTCTCCTTCTGAACAAGCCTCCTCCCGCCGTTGGATTTTCTTGCAAACGAGAGCAAATGAATTTCAATTGTTTAACGTCGTTAATGATCGTTATCAGCTGTCTAGGCAATCGTTCGGTAGCCGTTACTGCCACTGGTAAGACCGTGGTTTTCATTTGAAGCTTGCTCGGTCGTCGACTGACGCAGTTATTCAAGAGCTGAATGCATCGGCCAACACACGTAATGGCAACGTCACTCTCGGATCTAACATGTCGACTCCTGCATTTTCTATAAAAAATACTGTTGCATGTTATAAATGCGGGACGTTTAGACAATACATTTTAATATATGCATCATAATGCAAGTGACCGGTCACTTAACCGTCGCTTAACTTACTTTTGTAGTACGTCCCGGATATGCGAAGTGAAGGTAATGAACCCAACCGCCCGAATTCTCCCAAAACAAAACTTTTTCTGTATTTATTTCAGTTTTATCTTTTTTATTTATATTTCACTTATCTATCTCTGTATTTGTTCGGGTGTTGTATCCGCCAATGTAGAAAAATAGAGATTCGCCCCAAAATAGCCAAGCGTCTCTAAAGGGCGCTTATATTAAACAAAAGCACGACCGTATGCCCGCCTGCACGGTCAGGATAATTATTTAAAGAGGACCTGCGAAGCCCGCCCTAACATTTAGATGATTGCCGCCCTTTTCTCTACCGTAAACGGATGACTTTAAACAAAACCAGTCTATGAGAGCCGGCTGTCTAGAAGAGAGCTTATATTTGTATCCGATATATATATATGATTCATAAGAATGACCACTGATTTTGCTGTGCTCCTGCTGTTTCATCTGTAGCAGTGCGTTGCCTGAGGTTAATTTGGCCGCCTCTGCGTCTAGCCCATATATTATTTATGTGCTTGCCTTTATGAGCAAATTATCGACTGCTTGCGTGCGCTACCTATCGTTCTACACGCACACACATATATATACATACACATATTGTGCGGATGTGTTTTTACGCGAACGCTGACGATATGTCTGTATGGCAACAATGGCTGAATAATTCTGTATCGTTCAGGGGAAGAAACGGTACCCGCTATTGTCGCCGCAGTCATTTAGTGGTGATGATTCGAAAAGCTCTATAACACCGGCTGACTGTTGTTGTAGCGGCCATGATAGTCGTGCGTTCGAACGGGTTGCTGGTAAAGTTTGTCGAGTTGACGATCCGAGAACCAATCGATGGACCTCTTTTGAGCTAACTTCGATTATGGCTATTGTAGTTAGTCCAGCTACTTACCTACTGCTATAAGGTGCCGATGTTTCTTCTGCTGCTGGAGCTGCTACGAGCTTTGACGTTTCACTTGACAATACTATAACACAATATAGGGCGTGCGTACATACATATACACAGATCAGCTCGCTTTTACTGTTACCACTGGGCTTACACAACTTACCGAGACAGTCAACCGGAACCGAATGCGACGGCCCACATCAGCCCAGTATCGGGGAGGTATCGCCATGTCTAAGCTAACAAGCATAGTTCATCTCTGCCTGTGCATGCGCACCTGCCCGGGCGCATTTGACCTAACAGAAATCATTCGACATAAACGCGAGACAAATGACATTTCGAAAGCGTACGGCGACCATTTCTTATGTACATATATGTACACGACATCCTTGTACTTCATTTTAGACGGGCTACGTAAGGTTACCTTTCGCATACAACTTGCTGCTTGCAAATGATAAGTATGATACGGGAAGGGGTCGTAAGATAGTCTTTAACCTAAAAAAATCGTGCTAGCATAATTTTTGAAAACCTCCGCGCCAGCCTCTAGTGTTGACCCAGTGGGATAATAACCCTTCGCCGATAAAATGATATATGATGCTGACGATTTGTGATTATCGGCTCGAATGTACGATCCACACATAAGCAATAGAAGGCCTAATTCATTTACATGAAAATTCCGTTTGGAGCAGTAGCAACCGTAACGAAATGACTGTTTTACTCGGCAGAGTTTGTTCGAACTAAAGCAGGTCAAAACGCAACGTATCCATATATACGCTGCCTCTACCTAACGGCCCCTCCTGGGTGACCCTTAATACACACTTCCACATCGTAGGACAGCAGACTCGAAAACTTGTTAGCAATGCATACGAATCGAATTTTTACAGGGCGTTGCTGCCTTGAAGATAAAGGACATTTAACATCAGTCTCGTATGCACAGTCGGTCGGAATCGTCCAACTTCTAATTGTGTCTTATCCATCCGATCGGGCTTTTACCATGTACTCGTTCGGAGCCGTATCTAAATGTCCCGTTATTAAGTATTCTTTTCTCGACAAAAACTGCACAGATATAGCCGAACAAGCGTCAGCTTTTGCAATGTCTCATCCATTTCTAGCAATGAAATGTACGAAAGGTCATTTAAGACGGTATATAGGTGGCGCGACTGAGTGAACGTGTCACAGCAGTGGCTTAGGTCCGATAGCAATAACTGTGGAGGTTTTCCATTGGTATAGATCAAGTGTAACGGACCCTTTAAACGGTCATTTGTTACTGAAGAACCGGAACGGTTCGTTGATCATCGGGCATCTGAGCTCAACTTACAGCACGAACAAATCGCAACTTTGCAGTTGTCTTTTAAACAAGCTTGCCGCGAAGTTAGTATCTCATAGCGGGGCAACTATGGTCAAATTATTAGATTGGATCTCCAGTCTATAGGGGTGGCTCTAAATGGCTAATTTCCAATAACACCATTGATTGTCTATCTAGTCTACCGATTTGTTCGCTTAGGATCGCTGATTCTTGATAATTGATGCTCACTTAACGAGGTCGCGTTGTGGTCCATGTAATGTTGAACGCCACTTCTTAAGCCAGGCTATACAAGCTTGTCAACAACAATATGGGTAAAACCCTAGGTAACAGACGTTTATACACTGCCTGTTGCGTGATCATCTGATGCAGAAAATTTCACAGTGTCAAAGTGACCAGCAGTTTCGGTCCGACGTGCTGTTCGCTAACGGCATAAAGTCAACTTGCTTGGTCGACAACCACACGTACCGAACCTCGTTTTTCCCCTCTAAAATTTCTCTTGAGGGCACCTCTTTTCAATTAGTGTTTCTCATATCTACGCGACATTATACGCATTTAAATTATGGAAAAGAAAAACTTCATCATTGTATCTTGTATGGTCTAGCCGTGTTGTTAGAGGCTATCGACGACAATAATGTAAGCAATGCTAGTACCATTGACTCCGTCACGAATAGAAACGTGCGTTATATTTTATTTGTGTCCCTGTTTTTCTCTGAAGCGCTAACTTTATGGTGGCGGGGCGTGAAGCGATCATGCGCATCCTTCGATCACTGCCCAGGCACAGTCGGCACAATGAGCGACTCAACCACGACATTTGTGGAATTCAACGCGTACAGGCGTAAAGACAGCAGAAATGACCACCACCAAAAAAATAACATCCGACAACAACCGAAGGATGTCCTTAGGCTACCACCGTCGAAGCCTGCGACCGCGGTTACGGCAGGAGGAGCAGCCTGCCTTTGCGGGTTTAGCTACAAAATCCTTCCAGTCTGTCGGCATTAGCGCGGCTATTTGAGCCATCGAGAAGGGAGCAGGCCGAATGCTGAACGAGTTGTCTTCAAGTGAATAGTTACAAATACGAACGACAAGATTTAGCCTGACTAGATCGCTGATCGAAGCAAGTGGGTATCTATTATAGACTAACACACACACACACACACACACACACACACACACACAAACACAAAGAGAAACATAAAACTATATAAAGATGAGTGCGCGTTAAAAATATTACCGTGCGATAAACATCGAACACGCTTCAAGTGTCGCTACTCGCAAATTACTTTTCTTAGAATGGCTATCAAACCAATTGAATACGTATTAGAAAGCGGGCTTCGTACAGATATATACACATGCACATATATATGTATGTGTGTATATGTCTAGGTGTACATGCTTATGTTTGGTTTAACGTGAAAATAGGCGAGAATTGGTTGTTATTTTGAGCCTGTCATAGAATAGAACCGGCTTTTACTTGATCCGCACGCGTGTAGGTAGCATAGTCTAGCTGGACAGTATAGTGGCTCTAAAAGATCACGTTGGAATAGCCTAGCGAAGGAAAAGTCGAGCTCTTGAGTAGCCAGATTGTAATAGTAACAAAAGTATCGATCCGATCCGGTCGCAGCTTTCGGGCAAAATAAGGCAAGAAACTTATTTTCTCGGTCGCTTGTACGTTTGCCGTCTTGCCTTCCTTAGTCGCACAGCATCCCGCATCCAATGATTACCCCATAGTTGCAGAATATGTTTGACAACTCAGATTGTTAATCTGCTCTATACAGGCGATTCGGTAAATGATCTCATTAAACAAGCCCATCTAACCCAGATTGGCGACGAAGCACCCAGGACAATGACATGTTTTGTTGGTTAGCGGTGTGCGTGAGGATTTTATTCACGATCGATATTTTGAAATATTGTTCATTGTTGAAGTTTTCATAGCAATCTGATACTGGAACGGGTATATCTACTACAAATGATTATTGTGGTATTTCATCGCCACCAGCGGCACAATCATTCTTGCCATTATCTAAGTTAACAATAAAATGGGTAAATTGATTGAAGTGGCTACCGCCAATGATCGGGCATCGAAGTGGGGTAGATGTTCGCGGTACGGCCATAGGCCTACGAAACAAGCAAAACTAGTGCTACATTAGCGTTAGCGGCGATTCTGGCGAAATGCCAGCAATTGCGAGGCGGTCACCGGAATGAGTCGAATGATAGAAATCATTATCCGTTGTGCCGTCTACCGTCTGTCTCCCGGCTGCGGCCGCTGTCATCGCCGTATTAGCTCCGACCAACATTTGCAGCCAATGCAAAAAAGAAAGAAGACTGCAGCAGTAGCAGCGCAGATGCGTCGCTCGCTTGTCGTGCGGAGGGTAAAATCGCGTTTATATTCCAGCTGTGGCTAGCCCAGGCAAGAGCCGAGACAGGCCATGCTGTGCGAGCAACGGAGTGACGCCGTTCACCCTGGCTATGAACAACGGCAGCAGCAGCAGCAGCAGCAGCAGCAGCAGCAGCAGCAGCAGCAGCAGCAGTAGCAGTAGCAGTAGCAGTAACAGTAGCAGCAGCAGCAGCAGTAACAGTAGCAGCAGCAGCAGCAGCAGCAGCAGCAGCGAGCTGGCAAAAAGACAAGGTTGGACAGATGACTCTTCGCTCGTGAACAGCTTTTTTTCTTTGCCTTTCTTTTTCATAAAATGGATGAACAATTCGAATGATTATGAATCACACCTTTAGCATTATATTCGCTTCGCATAGCGCCTTCGTAACTTTCAGTTGTTATTAATTTGTGAGAACATTCCGTCGACCGAATGCGTCCAATAAAAATCATAATAGCAACAATGGTAACAAAGATTACAAGCCGCACACAGCAGCGGCTTTTCTCATAACTAACAGCATATCCAATATATATATATATATATATATATACAGACGAACAATCAACAACAACAACAACAACAGTAATAAATCAAAATGCACCAGAGTACGTCAAGTAATTAATTAATTAGTCCTTTATCTAGCACTTTTTGTTCCTTCTTTGACTTTCCGATTTCCTCCAATTATGGGTTTTGTGGATCGCATTTTGTTGCCGCTGTTCAAATGCATCTTGATTACAAACTGCTTAAAAAGCTATCAGCGCTATCGACGCACGGTAATACCGTGAACGTCTTCCTGTGGGCGCTCGTGCCTATCCCAACGCCATCGTTCGGTACCTGATATTGCTACTATTAGTGCGAGACGTAGCAATGTGTGTGTGTTTTGCGTGTTTTTACGCGTCTCTTTATGTGTACGTGTGCGTGAGGTTTTCATTGCCCTCTCTGAAGTCGACTTTTATCTCAATTCAGTCGATTTTTTTTTTATCTCAATTTAATCAATTCAGTCGAGTTTAATCGAGTACGCTGGACATTCCGGTGAACTCCACGAGGCAAAATCCTGCTGGCATTTAGTTCAGGACGATCTCATCGGGGTAAAATAGTAAATGGTTGTCGAGACGTTTATGCATTTCCATCACACGCATACACATATGCGTGTGTAAGACATATACGTAAGATAGACGTACGCTGAAACATTGGCCGTTTCTGGTCAAATACGCGGGTAACGAAAGGGTCAGTCACTCAGTAGGACATTATCAAACGATGATTTCTGTTGCTGGCCGGCGGCGTCTTCGGCTATCGGACTGTTGCTATCTGGCGGTGTGCGCACACCGCTGACAGCTGCATCTGCACTCAAGCGTCGGCCTCTGACAGACGTCGTTCGCTGCCATTGCTTCAGCTTTGTTCAGTCCGATGTGGTCTGGCCCGGTGCGCTTAGTGAAACCGTCGTCCTCGTGCTGAGTAAGCGTAATTTCATCTCTTCTATTTCATTACTGCGATTCGTTTTGAAAAGAATCTTAACCAAATCTTCGCGTCGTTCCACTGACATCAACAACAGCAACAAAAACAACGACAAATACGACAAGAACAGCAACATTTGTAACGGCGGCAATCGCGTCTGCGTCAATGGCCGATGATAGGATGATCACGTCCGTGCGTGCGCGAAGTTCGATCGCAACATCATTATCAGCGAGAAACGCCATTATCATTATTTGCCATCTTCGGAAGCGGCCTCGCTGGCACCACCTTCAAAAAAATGTAGAGGAATAACGTTACGTCGCACTCGGTTGTGCTAATACTCGAACGAAAAATGGTTCTGTAATGAAGCAAACAGGGACCAGTCATAATGACATTATCATTGTATTTCGACGACCCTTTCGGACAAACCCCGCTTGTCCAAGACGGCAGTCTGATTTATATATGTATATGAGTATGTTTATTCCGAAGCTATTGTAATGCTATATATTATAACAACATTTATTATATTTTTGGCTCATGACTAGTTATTCAACCCGCTTTGTCCAGCCATCGACACATAGATCAGTGGGACGGTTATTGATTATTTATCTCTGTCTATTCATAAAACAGCAGAAAACAAACGTGGAGCAAAAACACCAGAGAGTAACAAATAGTTCGTTCGCTTGAATCTGACAACCAGCCTTGTCACCAACACCCACCGCTGTCTATAATAGAATTTAGATAATTACGTGAACGCTGCTCTGGACAGGTAGCTGCACTACTCTTCTGCGCGCAACGATAGCTCAAGGATTTCTTATTGTTATGGTCGATCGGTCGATTCACAATGAACAAATTCAACAAACAATCACATTAATTGTTACTAAGGGAAAAATGACGCAGCTGTTCTGGTTGATTTATTCCAGGTCACTCATGTAGGTAAATAGGTAGCCGGTTAATTACAGCAATCTATAGTCCGGTAATAGTTGGGGGGAATAATCTAGCCCGTTGAAGCGTTATCTAAGTGAGATACCTATTTGTACTTTTTGTCGCGGGTTTTTTCAGAAGGCTGTGACAGCCCAGAGCGCGGTACTGACTCACCGCCAAGTGGCGGTTCGGGAAATATATGTAGCGGCAATCTCAAAATGAAGAAGCAACGGAAAGCACGAACTGCTTTTACGGATCACCAACTGCAGACCTTAGAGAAAAGTTTCGAACGACAGAAATATCTCAGCGTCCAGGATCGCATGGAATTGGCTGCAAAATTAAATCTAACGGATACCCAAGTGAAAACTTGGTACCAGAACCGAAGGTGTGTAATAAATCTCATAGAAAAGATCGACCGCTTTTAATGGAAATAGTATTTTACTTACACATACTTTAAATCTTTGTGAGTCGCTCTTACTTGTGCCGGGTGTTTATCTATAACTATGTTCCTATACTCGAAGACGTCTAACCCTAGTGAAAACAAAAAAGGCACGAGTGTATTTCTATCAATTTATCTCTCGTCTAGATTTAATCTCTGTTCTACGCTGCACGAGTCGCAAGCTGAACGCTTTAGAAGGTTGGCCTGCTTAGCTTTGTTAACAGCGACATCCCTTTGCTTGCTATTGCGACATGACTTATTTCCAGGACAAAATGGAAACGTCAAACAGCTGTAGGTCTCGAACTTCTGGCTGAGGCAGGCAACTACGCAGCAGTACAGCGTATGCTACAAACTGCACCCTACTGGCTTCAGAGCTACGCGGGTGTAACGCCGCAGACCTCCGTCAACGCGATGGCTGCTCTCGACGTGTTTTACCGCCAGGCCGCACTGCAGCAGGCTCAACAACAGCAGCAGCAGCAGCAGAAGCCGATAGCTAGTTTCCGGCCGCCAATGTTTTCATCAGGTGGTCCTGGGGCGCCAGGCGCACCCCCTAGCGGCGGAGCTACCGTTCCATCGGTTCCAACGGCTACTTCCCCCACGACCGTGTCGGGTGCAGCCACATCACCTTGCAGCAGCACAGGTCACCACAGTCCGGTGGATGTAGGCTCACCGCTAAGTATGCACACGTCCAGTGGAGCAGCGCAGCAGAATGTTGGCCTGCATAGCCGACGTTCCGATGTAACGTCACCACTCGAATTTAGCGGTGCGCCAAATGACGGATTAACGGCCGTCGGTAACCCTGTTTCTCATTTAAGTAATCATCCTCTCCACTCGCTTTCACCTTCGCCCCCGCTAGATAGTTCTCCGGTTCCCGCCGGTTCGGCTAGCTCAAGACCTTCTAGCGTGCCACCAGTGCGGCCGTCGTCGGGGGCTGCGGCAGTTGTTACCCCAGCGTCGACGACCGCTTTACATCATAGTAGCGGGGTGCGGGAAACGTCACAGCACCCCATGTAAAACACGAACCATAATAATAATTAATATTAAGCCAATAAACAACTCTGTGGTGTCATAATAATAATAATGATGATAGTAATAGAATATAGCTACATATAAATAAATGCCAATAAAACACATAGCTAGCTCAGCAGGTTCACGGTGAATAAGGACTATTCAATGTGGGGGTGTTCACATCTGTCGTTCTACAAAGGCGATGAGCTGCCCTTGTACGTATGGCGTGTAGACGTGTATGTGGCTTGTGGTCGAATCGTGAATGGTGATATGGATTTAACTCAGTTCGCTTCGAATTAAGCGATATCGGTTTAGGGTTGAGGTATAAGAAAGCGCCGATGTTGACTTGTCAATGACGATCATAAACGAACACAAACTGCAGGCAGTAAGTGGCAGCAGCGACAACCGAAGCAGATCTTTGAAGAAGCGCGTTTTGTACTGAAAGCCTTAAGATAGTTATTATTGTAGATAAACACGACAGGGGGTCGTGACGGAGCGCATTTGATTCTTCCAACCGCTTGCCATACCCGTAGCGTATTATAGTGCTACTTGCAGTTCGGATGCGTTCTCGTACCACATAAATTTTCGACGAAAATAAAGCTGATGATAACGGCGAGAGGTTGCGTGTTGAATAAACGTCAACGAAATACTGTATATGCACCGGACAACGAACAATACAAATCTATATTTTGTTGCCTTTATCACAGGCAGCTATTTCTTAACATTGTCGTACACCCAACTTCGGAAGCGGTGAACATACTATAATTATGCGTAACTCACAAATGGATAGCTATAGTATTTTGCGTGTGGTCCAGTCCAGCAATAAGCATCGCAAATACAACAATAACATTGTAAATACATACAATCAACGATGACGATAATAGTTATTATAAATAATAGATAAACAATAGCTGTGTGTGTTATTGTGTCTGTGGATGTGCATGCACGTGCTTGCACGATAGCCGAGCCACTACCGAAACCCAAAACTGATTGATAGTACCTATAGCAATGCTTTCGCAATTACTCCGGCAAGAAGCTCGAAAAAATCGTCGAAATAGTTTTGTTTTTTTCGTATGGTTCGAACACGCTCTTTATTTGCTCGCCACTGGAAACGGGTCGTCTGCTAAGCAGAGGATGTGATATATATTTTCACGAAAGGGTAAAAACGTGCGATTGTTGAGGGGGCGAATGCTGAAGACTGCGTCAACATCGAAAGCAACATTGGCAATGCTCCGACATTGAGCAATTAGCAGTCGACAGGACTATACCGTGACCACGACACGAACACCCACCTTTTCAAATTAGAGGAACCCGCCACGGGACGCCGCACGACGTATCATAAAACGACCAACGTTATAATGTTCAGTTTGCTTTGGACTGATTCCTGTATATAATAATGGATAATGACAAGCTGACATAGCGGTGACATTGTCGCGATTTTACTTGACACGCGCATTAGTTAAAAATGTTGTTTCAGCTAAGAAACGAAATAGCTAGAGAATGAACAGCTTCTACCATCACTTCTACCGCTGCTCGTTCTCGTGAGGTCGACCGGCCGGCGTCAGCTAGATCGGTTGCTTGTACATAGAAACAAAACAATGAATATGATTTAGAGTAAATTTAGAGGGTCATGTAAACTACGATATGAGCTAATGACAGCAAAGAAAATAACGATTTTTGCCATTTCTGCTGCTACTGCCGCCGTCTGCCGGACGTCATCAACTAAATCCACTTTCTGTACATAGGCGTATCACACAAAAGAACAATAAGTACGATATACACAGTAGCAAGAAGTAAGCGCAATATGAAAGCAGAGAAGAAGATGCGCAAAAGTAACGGTATCCCTATCGACGTCTGCTTCTCCGATGCAACCTTCGAATGCGGGTGGTCAATCGGCAACGGGTCAACGAACAGGAATCAGAAGCTTAGTAACAATAAATATATAATAATATAATTATTATTAATGATATGCAGAATGATGGCGTAAGGCATGATTTGACGCTGCTTGTTTTTAGCGGAATAAAGCCGTCAAAATCCTACGTATGCGAACGTATGTTCGGGGATTTGTGCTTATAATTGTTAGCTATTGTTTCCACTCCGGCGATTTTCGTTTATCCTCACTACTTAGACAACCACTCGACACTTACAACCAACCAAAAAGATAGTAGCGTTTTAATTCGTGCCCAATCGACAGAATAGTGACAATGACATCACCATTATTCCGTATTAATTATAATCGTAATTCTGCTGTCTTTTTAAGTCAAAAACAAAAAAGCAATTCTTACATACATATGGATTTCGAAAGGCCGACTATAAACATTGCGCATAATGATCGATACTCAGTAGGTTTCGCGAGTTAGCTAGAGGCAGTCGTCTGCATAAACTGCTTTTTAACTAGCTTCGATTATCTAGACACGCGAGTGTATGTGCATGTGTCTGGGTTTGTGTGAATCTGTGTGACCACACGGGTAAAAGAATTGATCAAAGCCTTTCGTCTTGATTCATGGACACTGGACACCAGAACCAAACGCACGTTAGATAGCCTGCTTGGTGATATGAGTGGTTATTATAGAAACATAAAGGCGCGCGATAACGGAGGCAAATACGGAGAGACGGATTATCGTAGATTCATAATGGAAATTATCCAGACAACGCAATAAAGATAGAATGACCTCAAGTAAATCTTAAACGAAATGATACCATTGTGTTTTCAAACGATAGCTTAATTCAATCATAGGTATGATATTGTACGGGATGAACCCTATGGCCTGCTACCGATGTTAGTCCTGATAGGCCCGAAAGGCCTTTTTCCTCTTCGCTGCCAATTTATATTCGCAAAGAGATAATTTGATCGAGTGGAAATTGCGTTATTGTTTTTTGCGTTACGCTTTGCCTGTGGATTATCGAAGTGGTAGCTGAAGCAGTATTTTAATGAACTAATAGAACAAAAGATGAAAATGCGTATAGAATTAATTACGAAAGAAAAAAACATCTCAGGTGCTAAAGCCTGAATAAATCCCCCAACCCGTAGCTTTCATGTAATACGTAATCCACGAAAAGTCGAGCTCATTAGACCGTGAATTGAAATTAGATGCGAATTATTTACAGCTAACAGTCCGCAATTAAAGCCATAGTTCAGATTTAAACAAAACATTACCAGGAAAGCTCGTTAAAATACGAACGATTTTACCGTTTTGGTTTGCCCAGGGCCGAGATAAAACTAGGCCTGCATGGCCAAATCATGTTGCACAGCTGATTCAGCTCCATCGATGTTTAACAGGATCCTTGGACGCAATTGATCCATTGATTAACGCGCAGGTAAATTTTGGAATCGTGTTTAAAACCCCATGGTTGTAGGTATAACGTCTTTCAATTTCTAGAAACAAACCTCAAATCTCACAAGGCTCTGCTGTACGTACCCGTTCTTCAAGTCACTTTGAGATCGACCTACTGCTTCCCTCATGCGCTTCTTAATATCTGGTAGCTCCATAAACTATAAGCCGTTTATTAGAACGAAATTTTGTATCGACCTATAGTGCCCTACAGTTTCAGACACACCAATATCAAATCCCAATGTTAACCTTCTATCAAATAAAACCAACCGAAAAGCAGACTACAAACAATTGCTTGTAAGTCTCTTTTCGATTTTTTGTCACTCCAGAACCTTACTTATTGAATATATCTAGCCCATACTACCTGTTATTCCTTAATCGAACCCGCACATCAAAATTTATTTGGCCTTTAAAGTTAATTCGTCACTTATTGTTTCTTTTTTGTATGGTGTTACGTCACCTTTATTAGGTACGTGTGAGGTAGCTATTTCTGTATCAGTGTTTTTTAGCAAAGTACCCCTTTAACTGAATCCAATAATTATCCGTCAGTTACAGAGTGAATCGGTTGACATGATAGTTCGTGCGGTGGCTCTTTCCGTTCCAGACTACCTCCATAATCCTAATGAGTTGCTTTTTTTATGTAGGTAAAAAAATACACGTTCCTATAGTCTTCCATCTTGTATAAGTACTATTTTTTTTAGCACTTCCTGCCAATTCTCTTCTTGTTATATTCAGGCAAAAGCATGCTTGGTATCTTACTTCCTGAATTACAGTGTCGGATAGCTTGTTTCATGTTGAAACCAGCTATATGTTGGTCTCTAGGCTAGATCACGTCGCTAAGCAGGTGTTCTTCAAGTAATCGCACAGCCAAACCTTTGCTTGCTGTTATCGCGGTGACGACAAGCCCTAAGCTGTAACGGTTCATGTCTTTCTAAGCACTAGTATGAAAAAAACAATTTGGTTTAATCATTTTCATCAGATTCTCATCATAAACATTACCACCGATGTTGACGGCCATTCATAAAGCATCCATCACGAAACGGCCTAAACGTTATATCTGAAAATATAATTAATTAATAGTGTATTTAGTATAACTAAAAACTATATATATATATATATATATATATATATATATATATATATATATATATTTTTTTTTTTTTTTGTCGACAAGTTTTGGGTAAAAAATACTTGTTTAGAACTTCTAATCAAGTATTCCCCGGGCCTAACGTTCCAGTTCTGTTTCTTAGTCCACCAACTTAGCACTGCGCTTTGCAAAATTGAAGTGGCACCATTAAAAATCTTTGGGTTTGTTAATTCACAAAGCTCAATATGATTTGTTACTGTATCGCGTTGCCTAAACGTGACCTTAATATGAGACTTCGTTTTGTATTTAAAAATGTCCACTTGCTATTTGTACGTGAAGTCATTAGCTTGTTTTTTTCCCCATATAAACACCTGTGGCCAAGCGTCATACTAAGATCCCGATATGAAATTTAGCTGCACCGATGGCGCCATCTAGCGGCAGAGAGACAAACTAAAGATATAAATGAACGTTCATAATTCCTCCGTTTACTCTTTCCTGTCGCGATCTGTGTGTGTATGGGAGATGTGTGCGTGCTGCTGAGAAAAGCATCAGGGACAATAGGAAAGCCAGCCTCCAATGGAGAACGCCGTTCAACGGCTTTGGCAGCAGCGGCAGCTGCTGCCGCCGCTAAAGTAGAACTGCATATAGACATAACGGTGGGTATAACAACGATTTCCCCACTGTCGCCGCCGTTGCAATTGTGTTTACGATAAAAGTGAAGCTGTTTATGAACACAGTCAGCTGGCTGTGTCTATGGGTAGATTGCATAAGCTTGACCACCAGATTTAGACGACGTTGATCTGCTGCTATAACTGCATCAAACAAATTTTACCCGACGCATTTAGGAGTTTCGCATAAATAGGGTGGGCTCCTAGTGATTTGAAAAAAGTTATTTAGCAGTTTGAGAGTTTATATTTACATCTGATAAAGTAACAAGAAGTGCAACAAAAGTAAGAGTGAAAAAATTAAGTGATATCTTTATAACTGTTAAGCGACCTTTTTGCCAGCACGAAGTAAAATGAATTTTCCAACCTCTATGCTTCAAGACCGATATTGCTGTTAGGCAAGTTCCACCATACAGGTGACCACCACGAAACGAAGCGTATCTGTGCCCGGGTTTGAACCCGAACCACAGCGTATTCCTAGAATTAGCAGGCAATTATGCTATCCGCTACACCATCGCAGAGGCTTCATTTTTGGCCCTACTCTGTATCATGTGTCCTTAAGATTTAACAGGCAAGCTCGTTACCACCGCGCCATCTCGGAGATCGCATGGAATCCTTAATAACTGCATCATGCTGAATGAATCACGCAGCGAACGTCTAAAGCATATAGAATTTAATAAAATACCGACGATTTGGTGCTGCATAAACCCATTCTCCAGGCATCAGTATTGGCCAGTCAAAGCAGCCGACAGTGAAGTGAGGTTGTGATTTAAGCGGTCTTGCTCGCTGTTGGCAATCTTGAATGCTTGCGCCTGTCTTTATTTATACATCAATATATAATGACGCAGCTATCATACAATATAGCCGGGACGTCATTGTCGTCAGATTGGGTCACGATCACGGTAACTTTTACACCGCCGTTTGTATAGTGGCGCGACTATTATATAGGCAGCAGCTGCAGCAGCAGCAGTGGCAGTGGCAGCAGCCGCAGCATCATTGTGTCTATCTTGAGATTATTATTGGCCTGCCTGCATGCCTGCCTGCCTGTCTGCCTGTTTGCCTGTCTACCGGCCCGTGGCTTCATTCAGCATCAAGCAAAAGGGAACATGGTAAAGGAATGAAGCTACAGGAGAAGATTCAAATTTGAATCGTGACCCAGGAAACGAACTGTGCAACAGAAGCGCCACTGTCGCAGGCGTCATCAGCTTCGAACGATGGTGGTTCCTTTTACACTACACTATGCCTTCTTATTTTTCCTCTTCGAGCTAGATCTTCTCTTCTGTGGTTTCTCAGCGGTCGCCGTATTGGCTAGCCATCCAGAGGTCGACTGCTTGTGCTTTATTGATCGGCCGCCGCAGAACCAATAGACCCACCATGGACATACCAGACCTTTGTACCAGCCGATATTCGAATTGAGGCGGCACTGGAGGCGTCTGTCGTAATAACTTGAACAGTGGCTGATATCGGTCGTGGTAAATCAGAGAGTGCCGGTTCTGGGTGACTTGCCAGTTTGCGGCTTGAGTCAGGCGTCCGCAGATGCGATTGCAGGCGGCGGAACAGTTAAATACGATATCGAAGACGTCCGACGGTCGTACAACAGCCGTTGCTGTTGCTTATGTTGTCTAGCCAAATGGACGATGAAATAGAACCGAGGGTTTGGTCGGCCGTCAGTAGAGCCGTCGGCCAATAAACAGCGGAGAAAAGCGTCACCATCGCCACCATCGTTATACATAATACCACTGCCTCAGATACAAGTGTCTCACTCGGATACGCACCTAGACGCCATCTCTACGCTCCTGTCCCGCTGAGGCCGCCATTGAGGGCATAAAGACCTCAGAGGCAGCAGAAGTGCTGGGGGGTCAATGTCCGCTAGCACTGCTCAAGGGGTCCTCGCGTAGTGCAAGCGTGCAACGATGTGCGATTCGATGAACTTCTGTTGCCCTGTTAAACTCCTACAGCAGACTGTAGTTAAAATAAGATCGAATTCGTATATACGTCGTGTGAGTTCGATGTATATTTTTGTGAGAACTTTAAGGAAATGAAACAGGTATCCTCGAATCGGGGATTATATAGCTAACAAAGGATATGCTTTATACAACGGTTTGATTTCGGACCTGATAAGAATGCACTACTTGAGTACTTCTATTATTAGAAGTTGTCATATATACAGTGACGAACCGAGATACTACCAGGCAAAGTAGATGGGGTGCACAATGAAGTTAAACTGCGTATTGGGACAGGCTGTGCTATCAATTTCGTGGGTAAATAATGGTGTTAAAACAACGAATGGTTCAAGGTGCGTGTGAGGACTGGGGTAGCGTTTGGTACCAAATTGGATGTCAGAATGCCTCGAATAATTGTCCAACAGGCCAAGATGCAAATGGTGACACAGTAGGACAATGCACGCCTTCTCCCAACTTACCATTTGGTTGCCCATCTGGATGGAACTAAGTAGATCTATTACAGAAACTATTGAGTTAACGGCCCAATAGGCAAAGCTGTTATTAATATGTTAGTAAAACCGAATATTATGAAATAACAAG